ATATGAGGTCCTAGAAAATGCTATTTCCCTCATAAGATTCGTTGTTCTTCTATGTGAGAATAATAATATATTAAATAGAGCGACATTTAATTCCACACAAGCGAGTAACAATAGAAGCAAGTTTTGGTCCGCCATGTTTGTTTTGATGTTTGGTTTTCGCGCGAGAACACGTGGTACAGCTGACGTCATCGTTTCCATTTTTATCCGGATCCGACCGTACACACTAGCACGAAAGATATACGGATTCCTTTTTATCCACTTTCAACAGCGTTTCCAAACTTATACGGATTCGGTGGATCCGATCCGCGCGTTAGTGTGGACGGAAGGCCTAAATCTATCAAAAAGTATACGGATTCGAACGAATCCGTGTTAGTGTGGACGGGCCCTTAATAGACACCTTTTTTAAAAAAAAAATAGTGATCCATTGAGGGGTCACACAAATCATCCCTTCAGTCAACAAGAGCCCTGAGTGCTACATTTACCAGGTTGTTGCTGTTGTTTTTACTCTCTTTGTTTCTTTGTTGAAATTTCGTTTTATTTAAGATATTGACACTTACCCTTGATTGGAGTGATTTAAATGAAATCCGATAGATTAAGTGTTAGAGAAAAACAGTAACAGTGGCTAAAATCAAGCGGTATGCTACAAGGGTGGTTACCTCGGAATAAAAATGCTGTTGCGAGGGACAGAATGTTCGGAAGGAAGTCAACACTGAGTCAGGGTTGAGCGTGTTTTGGTTGCAGCACTAACGATAGTTTCCACACCGAAATAAGGAGCCTTTTCCGACGACCGCCTCTCCCCCCCCCTCCCCCTCACTGCCACAAATAAATTTTAATTTTTAGTCCACGTAAGATATATAGCTATCGTAGTTTATTCACAAGGAGGATTTTCATTTAATCTTGGAATACTCTCTGATTGATAGTCTTTAATTTCTGTTGCAGCAGTACAAAGGAATGAAGCCCAAATCAAACTCAAGATTTACTTAATCACGCTCATTACTTCATTACACAGGACTTTTATTTTATTGTGATGAATAATCAATTCAGTCGCTAAAGCTGAATAAAGTAAAAAAATGGAACGAAACGTTCAGTTGATCAGTCAATAAAGAGAATTAGCAAAAACTAGATTATTCTTTACTTATCTATGAATAAAATTAATTACTGTCCCTCTGTCTTATTTTAGACTCTCGTGTCCAATTTGTAAACTTGCGTACTTGTGCACTGGTGTCAGATTTAAGACACCATAGTACAATTTTAGACTCTAGTTAGTGTCTATTTTAGACACTTTAGTCTCGGTCACATGCTGAGACAGGAATGTCACTCAAAATAGAAAATTAAATTATTGTTCTTCTGTCTTTCGATATGCATTTGCAAGTTTTTTTTAACTGTGCGTCCCTAAGCAAAATCTGGGAAACACGGGAATTAATGACGCTGTGTGTTTTATGCAAAAAGTATTTCTACAGAAATGCACCTACAATAGGCAAATTCAAGGGAAAAGAATTCGTTGTCTTGGCTAATAGTTTCTTTAAACTGCATGTACGATCTAGTTTAGCCAGTGAAATCTTGCTGTATTTGTAATGTGTGCGAGTGAAATTTGGCATGGTTGATACATGCACGTGGACGAGGCACTTGCTGTCGAAAATTTGAGTAAAATCGGTCGAATTTTGCCTGTGTTCGACGAAAACACGTTGCTATAGCGGAGCCCAACAAGTACACCCTATGAAATCGACTGAAAACTTTGATTTTGATTTGGGAAAGGCCCTGAATGGGGTAGGGGGGAGGGGAAATGGGTCTGACACTGCATCACTGCTCCATTTTCAAGAGAGTCCAAAAAATTTATTTTTGCAAAATCTGAGAAATATAATGTGTACATTGGCCCCTTCAATTGATATTTTGAATTTAAGCTTTCTTAGAGGGCATTGTAAAAGAAAAACAGCTTCTCGCAACCTTTGTATGATGAAAGAACACATGAAAATTACAGGAAAAGAACTTTCTTTACGACTCAGAGTGCCGAGCGACGGCAAAAAAATCGCTCACATCGTGCTCAAATGTTGGGCAAAACTCGCCTGCTAGGGAACAATGTGATTCGATGAACCCCATCGAGAAAATCTAGGTCAAATCCCCATGCAGTCCCATAGCACATCAGAATTACATCTTTAGTGTTCGTTTAGCTGTCCACAAATCTGCTCTTTTCTTGATTATGATAAGTTGTTATTTTCAGTGTTACATGCGTATTAGTTATTGATGTAAACCTAACAAAAAATTCCTTCTTCCCTACACCCGGTCATTTCATATTATTGTCTGATAGCCACCTTTAAAATGTGGTGACTGGAGAGCATCAGTGCAGTAGAAAACGGTATCAGCGTGTTCAGAATTTTTTTTTTTCTCAAATCCTTGGAGGCCATCGCGTTTTAATTTGAATTCGTAATCTCTAAGACTCAAACGAGAGACGCCATCCAAGATGTAAGTTCACGATATTTCGCAGCGAGCTCTAAAACACAATTCATTAATGGTTCCGAGGATAACACATCTCGTACGTTTTACCCGGGAACTTCACTCGACCCTTACTGTACGTATACGGACGACTCACGTCAACACAAAGATCACGTAAACATCGTCTTTTTAAAGGATTAAAATTCTTTTTGCTTACTTCCGGTGCTGTATCTGATCACTATAGATATTTCATTTTTTTATTCATTTTTTACTCCAAAATGTGTTTGTTAGGCGTTGGGAACGAAACATTCATGGAGATGGTCTTAGGGATATTTAATTATTATCATGTCATTTGACTTGTAAGAGAGGACTGGGAGAGTTTTTTTGTTTGTTAAGGTGGAATGCTTTTTTGTTCATGTGATTAAATTATTTGTATGTGTTTTTTTGCAGCAGGAACATGATGAGAAAGAAGATGTTTTGCCGGAAGATAAGAATAAGGTAATTCTTGGCGTTTTAATTTTTCTTTCGTGTTAGAAAAATATAATTATATAAGCTGATAGATTAGTTTTCTTCATTGATCTTTTTCTGTATTCCTTTATGATTCGTTTGTTTCTTTTCTGAGACTTTCCCATTTATCGTTTATCAATTTACAAAAGAGGTTCACAACACCCAGTCTCGTCGAGATGTTTTAAGTGAGCAATTATGCCCGTGAAGTAACGATGAAGAGTTTTTTTTTTTCTTTTTTTAGAAAAACTTTAACGTCTGCTAACTAAAAGAATTGGCAAAGAAGCTACCTGGTTCTTGTCGTGAGATTATTTGTTTCGTGATCCGCGACTCGACAAACCGTGAAACGTGATGCACTATCTGTACAACGCGGGAATGGAGGGTTAGACCTTGCTTTGAATAAATTTTGAGTTGCAGCAAGGCGTCTCTTCAAATTTGTAAAGGACGTTTCGTGATCTGAAATTTTACACCAGTGTTGCAGTGGAGGTGAAAAAAATTCATGAATTTTCCGTGAAACGAGATTCGATCGTGTTTTAGAGCCCGCTGTGAAAAATTTCCCATTTGGAGCATCTTCTCAAATTGATTTTTGATATCATAAATTTTTTTAAAGGGGATACGACTCTCGTTTAAGTAAAACTTAATATGAATAAAATGATGATGCTGTTCATCTTTTTCTAAACATACGTACTCTTAAAGAAGCCGGTGTAGAATAAAACCGTTTGTCAAATAGTAACATTCCGTGAGGTTCACAGGCCAACAGACTTCGATTAGATATCAATCAACTAAAAGCTAAACAGCTACTGCTTATCTTGATAAAGAAAAGATTCAAATACTGCTGCAGCCTGAGAAGTTCCCATCAAAGTTCTTGAGACATCCACGATTTGACTTATAACTGAATTGAATCAACATCTTCATGATGGGAAAACTCATCGCGTGCCTCGTTTTGTTGTTTATCCTGGCTGATTTCAATTTTGGTGAGAACTCTAACCAACTTACACAACTATTTGTCTGTCATTCTTTTATCACTGCGTGCTTTGACATCCATGATAGTCTTATCGTGCCTATCGAGGCCAATGGCAGAATCGTGACGGAACTTACCCCGTTTTTCAGCTTGAAGCGACATTGTTAGGAGCCTCGGAACAGTCTTTAAACTCCTCTAACACGGAGTATTCGGCCATTACGTTGGAGAAACTCAATGGCCGAGCCTGGATTCGTCCCAGACTTTTTGATAAGATTTCCGATGCGCAACTGTGGCTAATTCTAGACCAACATAGGTCTCACGCTTCATAGGAATGAGGGCGAAGTTGTTGAACAAAATGAAAATACCAATTTTACAAAATTCTCGTCGTTAAGTTTACTTCCATTTTCGTTTTATAAATTGTCAGTGATTTCCAGGTGCTTACTAATTAATTCCAAAGAATGTCTTAGCGCGCTTAAAACTAAAAGAAGTACCGCCAGTTTTTCGTCACAGTTCGATACAGTCCAGTTTTTCGGGGGGCGGAGGGCTCTCAGTCTTACTGGTTCCTCCCTTCTGGTTTTACCGCTGTGTAATGAGTCCTTTGACCGGAAGACAAAAAAACTCCATATGATGAAAAAAACCCACTGTCTCGAGTTTAACATGAGGTAAAATATTTCAGCTTACCCGAGAAGTAATAATTAACTCGATGATTCTTGTAGACCGCATGCGAATCTTAAGAATCTGATTGTTACAAAGAGAAACATCAGAAGTGAAGTTAAACTCGATTAAAGCTCACTCCTCATCTGAATTTTTTTTGCTGTTACATGTTTGCAAGTTCACCTGAAACTGGTAAGTAACATTGACTTCCGTAAAACTTATAATTTAGATACTAAGCCGTGTTCTATCTTATCATTGTCATTATTATCATTATCATCATTATTATCATTATTATCGTTAATATTAGACTTTTGAAGGTTATTCTGTTCAAAAACCCGTCCCTCGGGGCAAAAAATTGTGTTCATTATCATCATTATTATCATTATTATCGTTAACATTAGACTTTTGAAGGTTATTCTGTTCAAAAACCCGTCCCTCGGGGCAAAAATTGTGTTCAAATGCCCCATATTGTGTTCAAACACCTCCATATTTTAAGATTTGTATTCCACTGGAAAGATTCCGGTTCAAATTGCCCACCCCAGCCGGGCAAGGTTCAAATTCCCAACTCCCAGGCGACGGTCACATGCCCGTGTGTTGCCCGAGGGAGAATGTTAAAGCTTATAATTGATGGACCCTCTATGGGCATTCTGGTGTCGATGCAATTCAACTTGACTCCTGGTCTTATACATTCCAATTGTTCCCTTACGCTTGTATTTCATCCTGTTCACCTATTCAGTCATTATGCTCGTCTAGATTTTTTGTTCTCTTTTCTTCTCCAAACTAATCGGCGGACTGTTACTCAAGTTTGTCTTACTCTCCGATAAGGTGTTCAGTGACGAGTTCCTCGCGTGAACCACGCGAATCACTCGCGTGGATTACTCTCACACCAATCTTTTTTCCCTACTAAAACATATTCTGTCAATTCAAAACAAAAAACAAAAGATCAAAAACAGATCTCTGTGTTTACAAGACGGATATCCTTGGGGATGAAGGCTATTGTCGTATTATGGCTAGGCGCCTGAACTTCTGTCTCTACTATGCCGAGTTCATGGAAAAAAACTGTGCCTTCTCATGTTGCCGACAGGTATGTTGCATGAGTTTTTCAGTTGTGACGTTACAGTTTTCCATCCAACCTTAGTTGTCCCTCCTTAATTTTTGCAAACTTGGAAATCCAGTACCTTTTTCATATCGCTGTGACCATGAGTCGAAAATTGTCCACAAAGATAACTTCTTTGCACACCAATTGGTGACTGGTCATTATTTATCCCCTGAGTAGAGGAGTTGGTAGATTTTGTTGTGTCACATTAAGTTTTACATAATTGCCCCATAACATGCTTAAGGCTCTGTAGTATTCTGCCTTACCCCCTCACTGATAGCCAATTTGCTCACCTTTATTGCTTTATTCCCCCTGTTATACTCTGTCAGCAACGACTAAACCCCCCTGAAAGCCATGTGCCCCTCCCCCAAATCCTTCGAGCTCTCCCCCCTCCTGGCGATGCAATGAAGACTGGTTTCCATATTAAAAATTGAATCAACAACCACAAGCACATTTACCTGTTTCAAGGATTTCTGGCGCACCGTTAGCTTTGACTCCCAAAATAACTGGCGATAACGTATGCAATACGGAAATTTTCGGATTATTTTGAGAATATTGTTATTTTGTTGGTTGCAGGGTTAGTAAGCGGCACATGCAGACCGTGAAGGACATTGGACCAACGCTGATTAGAGTAGAAATTCTTCAAGTGGCCTTGCTAAACTAAACTCTATTTCATGTTCTATTTCATACTGCAATAAAGGTCCAAAATGTCAAATTCAAACTCTTTGAGTATTTTTGTGAGAAATATGGGCCCTGGAAATGTGATGACTCTTTTTCTCGAATGAAGGGAAAAGATATTCTCTCCGACGAAGGGCTAACGCTCAAAACGTCAGCTTTTATAATCGTACCGGTGGCCAATTTACCATTTCAACTTTGTTGATATATTCAAATTATGAAGAGAGAAGATAGACGCTTCTTATAGAGTCCTTAGGGTTTGTTCTCGAATCGAAGTCATTTTCATTTCTGACTTGTCTGCATCATGACTTACACCGCCAGATCCGATGTTCGGTTTGACAAAATTATAATGATGAGCAACAATTATGTAAGCTTTTACGTGACAATGTTTTTTGGGTAAGGAGGGAAACGCTCAGCAGGGACGTCTTGGGAGCCAGGCTTAAAATTAATCTTCAGCCTTAATCAAGGCTTTCTTTCCCTCGGCCCTCTAAACCTGAAAATAATTTCCATAGACATCGGTCGCGTAGACTGCGTTGCAGCGGGACGTGTCACACAATCCCCGATTTAGTCCGTACTGTCTGTACCGGCGGTTTAGACTCTCTGCGACGCAGGTTACGGTCGCGACGCTTCATTGTTTTTATTTTCCCCGCGTTTCTTCACAGTAAAATGGCCTGTCTCTTTCTGAAAAAGGTATATAAGAAGGCATCCAGTGGTCTTTTTTTTTTTTTTTTGGTTTTTCTTTTTTTCAAGTTCATGAAGATAGGTTACCTCTTACAAATTGGAAAACGTGACATCCATCGTGCATTTTGCGTCACGCCACACTCGATTGCGTTTGCGTCAACCACAGTGTTTATGTTTACAAAGTGATTTCAATATACCAAGTGTTACTGCAGTAATTCAAACATCACTCGCAGCTTCTAATGTTGGGTTTGTTTGCAAGGATCATTATAAGAAAGGTAAGCTGTATGAAAATTTCCAATAAATTTCTCACGATTTAGATACAATGAAGGTGATTGGATCGTCTGGAACGAAAATTAATAAGCAGGGTTGATTCCTTTCATATTTATTAATTACCGTTTAGCTTCTAATGAATCAAAAGAATGTAAAAGGAAGAAAAAGCACTACAAGCTTCAGGAAAATCGTTTTAAATAAACTGTGATCAGTTCAATCTAAACGTGGCCTAAAGACTAAAAAAGAAACGAAGCCGGTTCCAGTTTTTTGACGCTGGTTAAATTTTACACGATTTCAGTTAAGTTTCTTTGCGTGCAGTAGAAACTGGACTGGAACATTCGGGAACTTAAATGGATTTGGGTATATCTCCTTTTATTCGGTAAATTTGAAAAAAACACGTTAAGATCCTAATAAGTACTACGATTTTAAGCTGGTTTGATCGCATGTTGCCTTTGTACGTGATCCCTGCGCTGCAGTATATAACGAGTACATCTGTCGGGTCATCTTACACATTAGTAAACTGGCATTGCTGAGATGATGCCATACACTTTTTATTGAAGAACCTAAATATCTCTATCACGGCTCAATTCTCGTTACAGTTTTTCTGAGTATGACTTGAAATAAATTTTTGCGTAGCCTTCGGTAGAAATCACTGCACACCATTTGTTATTCTGGCGACAAAGGAATTTTTTTTACCATAAAGAAAACAAACATTGCAGTGGTCAGAAGCACGTTCCACAATGGCTTTATGGACAGCTTTGTTTCGGTTAATTATATTACATCTTATAAAACAATCAACTCATTCAATTACTATTTTATGAATCTGTAGTATCGGGTGAAATTTAAGGATCTTTTGTGCTTTAACTAAGGCTTAACTTTGCTAGACTAAAAACTGATTCGACGTATATCTGATGACCATTTTTTCTTTCTTTATTTGTTAATCGTTAGAATATGGAGCAATTATGGATGACATTACCCTCACTTCTTCATTCTCATTACCTGAATATTTTAATGTTGGGCAAAGATATATAGAACAGACATTTTTACAAAGGATCAACAGGACGTATAAGCACCGCTATTCAAAGCCATATCCTTTCTTGAGCACCTTTGGGGAGACAGTTTAATTTAATCTAAACAAATTATCCAAATTTCTTCAACAGTTTGCCAAATTTTCGACGACTCGTTTGCACCATAACAAAATAGCGGCAATCCAAATCACGTACCTGTCACGTCTGTAGATCTCTATAATCGATATCTAGAACGTAGACACATCCCTGTGGTGCTTATCATTGATTGATATTTAATTTTCTCAAGTTGTTTACTCGTTGGCGCAGTCGGTTTGTCTGTTGTCCAGGTGCACGGTAGACATCGGTGCAAAGGATAATCGAACTACTTTTCTCTCTCTCCAGTCTCTCTCTCTCTCTCTCTCTCTCTCTCTCTCTCTCTCTCTCTCTCTTTCTCCCTCTCCCTCTCTCTCACAAAAAAATTGAAAACAGTAATAATAATAATAATAATAATAATAATAGCTCCTTTAAAAGGATGTACGATGTTAAGCAAGTCACTAGTGTGAAACAAAAGAAAAATCTGAGTACCCTGTGGTGTCGCTTCCATGCTCCGATGCTCCATCAACTGAGGAATTAGGGAACCATTGTTGAAGCATATGAGAACATATGTATTTTTTTTATTATGAGTGATTCAAAAGATCAGCAGAGTTGGAGGTGGCCTGTTTGGCGATCGATTAATAAGTTAAAGATAGCTAATCTCGAGCTCTATATAGTCGTGCTACGTTTCTTTGCTGAACTCTCTGCTTCCCAAATATTACCTGGTGTACGTTATTATTCGAAAAAGGATTACGAGCCTTTGGGGCTTCAGTAAGAGCAGCCAGCTGTTGCCAGTGAACCCTCATAGCACTTCAGGACGCGCGTTTCTTCGCGCGCGGGAAGATTTCAGAGGAGTCGAGGAGAGGATCTGGCACTAATAAGTCCTAGACCCCTAACAGACATCTCGCCAGCTCGGTCCCGCAGGCCGCGAAGGAAGCGCTCGTGCCCAAGCTCTACTGATAAGAGCTTACTCGCAAGATACTCTAACAGGGTTTAGAACATAGCTAGCAGAGTCGCGCAATCAAATTCACTATACGTAAGCGTGCTCAAAATCCCGATAGTGCACGCTGATAGCGTCAGCAAATCCGACTTCGCCAGAAATTTTTTTTTCGCGCGAGCGGCCATTGCTAGTGCGGGGAAAAATAATACATTTCGCGACAATAATGGATACAAACAGAAACTCGGCCTGCTAGTCCGAAAACGAAGACAATGTTTCGACCTTTTCCCATGGGCTAGAGTTCTTAAATGAGGCAGAAAAAGAGAAAAACAAAGGAAAAGGAGACTCGGCATCAGCGCCGTCACGATTCGCTTCAACTGATATTGTTGTCCGTTTTTCGCGTCGCATTTGATGCACAATTCCACCGGCTATGTTCTAAAACAATTGGTTCATGCTTTCAGCTGTGCACTATCGAGTTATGGAGCACGTGGGAAGTTTGGAGAGCACTCAAGAAGCTAGAGTTGCCCTCGGCTATCGCCTCGGGCAACTCTTACGCTTCTTTCGTGCTCTCCAAACTTCCCGCGTGCTCCATAACTCGATAGTGCACGCTAAAGCATGAACCAATTGTTAAATAAAATCCACATGGCAGTAATCATCAGAAAGTAAACATATAGTAGAGTGAATTCGTATAACCCGTTTGTTATGTGNATAATACATTTCGAGACAATGATGGATACAAACAGAAACTCGGCCTGCTAGTCCGAAAACGAAGACAATGGTTCGACCTTTTCCCATGGGCTAGAGTTCTTAAATGAGGCAGAAAAAGAGAAAAACAATGGAAAAGGAGACTCGGCATCAGCGCCGTCACGATTCGCTTCATGCTAAAGCATGAACTAATTGTTAATTGCTGATTTGCACGGTTTAGTTGCATTGGCGATTACGCTTTTTTACTGTCGCCTCCTTAAAACTGAATGTTGTTGAATAGAGGAGAAAGAACGAGTCATAAATCTTTATTTACATTTTGGTTCTTATGAAAGTTACGTTTTTCATCACTGTATCCACGGTGATTCAAAAACCTGTGAAATACACTTTGCACAGCTGCCAGCTCAATTCTGAATTGAAAAAGTGCGCAAATATACATTGTTACAGCTTTAAATTTCGCTGTATAAATTATGTTAAGCCTGCACGGCTTTTTGCCCATCTCAGTTTTGTCCTATTTTATAAGTAATTATGTTATACTCGATTTCTTCAGGTTTTTTGCAAAGATTAAAATACGTACAGTCGAGTTATTCTAAGAATGGTTTATTGCCAACACAAATTGACTTCGCTAATTTTAGGCGACAAAGCAAAATTAAGAATGAGCCCAGTATTGGCCGTCAATGGGTCTTTTGTCAGAAGTGTACCTCGAATTGCTAATGTGAGTGATCTGAAAGACGAGTAATCCGGTGTCTTTACAAAGCTTGGATTATTATATCTACATATATTTTTACTTTTTTCTCGATTTTTAAATTTACACCTGTCACCTACACACAAAAGATGTGTCAATACCCCTGCTTCAATTGGTAGCTCAAAATCATGGTGGATTATCATGCTTAAGTAATTCAGATCGTTAAGCTCGATATCAAAAAGTCCGGACTTGCGAACCAACTGCGAGTTAGTTTAATTTACTGTGTTTACCGTGCAATTCTTGATTTCCGATGCGAGTGTTAAAATTTTTTACGTAATTTTTGTTTTCAGGTGTGGGACGGTGAAGTCGCGACAATTTTTCGGTAGCTTAACATGACCGACGTAAAAGAGACTTTTCAGATCTTCATGGCTCTCCCTTCAGATGATATATGCACCGTCAAAAGATTATCACGCGAAATGTTCGTGTATCAACTGAAATCAAGAGTGGAGCTCAAAGCTGGCATACCGGCAAACATTTTTACTTTGTTTTTTATGAATGTACAACTACGCGATCAGGATGCTTTGAAAACATATCACCTCAAACGTGGCTGTATTGTTAGGGTCAAACTCGAACAGAACTACCTTGGCCTGTTTGAAGCGTGTTGGCGGGGAGATATTTACGATGTTTTCGAGAACGGTGTTCAATTTCTGGATGAGGACAAATTTCAAGGCTACGACATATCTCTTTGGAACAAATTGGTTATTCAACGCGCAACTTTCGCTTTGTTTATCGCTTGCCACCGTGGTTACCTCGGTCTTATACTAGAACTTATCAACCGCGGAGCTACAGATATCAACGGTAAAACCGTTTTTGGAAGAAGCGCGTTGCACGTGGCGGCTTACCAGGGTTTTGTGGGCTGCGTGTCTCTACTGCTCAGCGAAGGCGCCATTTGTAATCAAATAGACATCGAGGGCAAAACGCCTCTGGCCTTAGCTAGTGAAAATGGTCATGTTTATTGCGAAAGACGAATTTGGCTTTATCAATGGAACCTACATACCTTTCGCCCACAGTCTACGAGAAGCTTGACTAGAGAATCAAGTGAGACAATGGAAAATTTAGGAAGGTAGGTGTATAATGTATAATGTTACCCACAAAAGTTCCTGTAAGTTCAACGCTTAGTGAGAATAAATATCGCGTTTGTCGGCTTAACATTTGGTGGACCATGATCCCGAACGCTGTTAAACCACAATAGCATAAATATCTATATGTAATCTACTGTTCGTTTGTTCAAGACCAATTGTACACTTAATTCCCCTAATGAAAAGGCTAAATAATGTCGAGGTAATGAAACCATGAAAGTGCTTTTGAAACGGGCCAGTGATGCTTCTTTGCAAAAGGATTAGATATTTCCGGATAATTTATACGTAAATGAAAACTTTCTTCTCCTTTATCTCCGGGATTAAGGAATTATTAAAGCTTAAAACTAAAATCAGTCAAAACCTAGGTTACCTTGAAATACTGGGCAATTAACTGAAATTGATTGATTGATCAGCTTCAGAAGGTCAAGCTCAATTTACAAACCGAATCGTTTGCACGGTCTTTGTATTATTTGGTTTTGATAAAACGTCTTGTTTCAAGAACACGACGTTAAAATCTATGTGTGTGGAAATAGTGGTGAAATGACATCATTACATCATTATTGAGTAACATTTGACGTCATCATTTCAAGTACGACGGTTTAAAAAAACTGGCTGCGCTGCGCACGATTCAGCTTGACATAGCTGATACCATAGGTGAGTGGTGATACCGTGGGAAGCTGTCAGCCTCTTTATTCGCAGGTTATGTGCATTTCGTATGCGCTTGATTTATTTACAGATCACGGAATGGTTCGTGTCGTGTTTGAGCTGCCTATCCCATAAAAATAGAACCAATGAATGTTTTTCTTCTTGGTAGATGTTGAGGCTCACAATTTTTTTATTTGTTTTAAAATGTTTCAAATCAAATTGATCTTTATTTTCTTCCACTAGAAATCAATGAAATTACATGGAAATAATTTATGTGCTGGTCCGTAATCTCTAAAGCCAGTTAGCGTGCAGGCCTAGAGGTCTGTAAGCCAGTAATCCCTTACACCAGTTAGCCCAGGACCCGTAAGCCTGTAAACCCGTACGCACGTAAGACCGTTAGTCTTTAGGCCCATAGGCCCGTGCCTAGGCATTTATAGATTATGCTAGCATAATTTTTGGCATAATTCGAGCAAACTGGCATAATTTCTGCTAAGTAGCAGTGCTAGCATAATTTGCGCATTTTGATAATTATCAGATCATTTTTGATGCCATTATTTGATAATTTTGTCTCTAGTCCCAAGCACTTGGTGACCTTAATCGATTTTAAAGTTTTAGT